AGATGGAAATTAGCCGGCCAGATTGGGGAGAGCCTTCAATATCAGGCTAAGGAATGTGGGCTTTACTTGGTAGCAGAAGCAAGAATCTGATGAGACAAGTAGTAGTAGTGGAGACAAGTTGGAGCTAGAGATAAGGTTTAGGCCATCTTCAGTATGCTGCGAAACATTAGCTGAAAGCAGCCAGATGGTAAAAACTTCTCAGTGAAGAGAGAACCCGAAAAGAAAAGAAACGAGAGCTGCACATGTAATCTTGAAGACACGACAGTTAGAGAGCAGACCCAGAAAAACCTGTCTTAAAGCATTGGCTTCCACATATGCAGATATTAATAGCACCACCCAGTCTGTCTGCTACTAGGAGTCATTGAAATAATGCAAGAAAAGTGCTTAACACGTTGCCTGGTGCAGAGCACTTAATAAATATTACTCTTCATTATTATTATAAAAGAGTGATTTTTTTTTTGCATTGAGATAAGGTCAACTGATGTACAGATACTAATTGTTAATATATGCATTGATGATTTGTTGCCCGGTAACTATGATTTTTGAAGTGACAAACTCATTTCAGTGTTTGCCTTTTAATTAAAATGGGTACTTCGGCATTTTAAAATTCATTTTTGAAGGAACCCCCTACTGAGCTGCAGCATCTCAGGCACAGCAGGGGTATACTACCATTTTTAAAAAGCCAGCTAACAATTAATGTCATAATTTTATATTTATCCTGCTAATTACGGCAAAGACAAATCCCAGTTTGTCCACGACTGTGCAAACAAACAAAGAAGGCTTAGCACCATGAGGCAAGTTACTTGCAAATTTGCATATTAATTACTGTTTACCACCTCTGCTCCTGTGGCTGATTACTTCTAACAAAGAGCAGACGTATACAGTGGCTCGGATCGTCTGAGACAACCTGAAATGCAGCCCGCCACTCTCTGAGCAGGCTAGGAGAAGGCTGCTGTGCTTACTAGTGGTGACATGACCAGAAGGGAACAGTCCACACTCCTGGCTCAAGGGATCTTTATGTGAAGAGCCATTAAGGTTTCTGAGATGCATTTTATAAAGCATAACAGACAACAAAAGTGATCCTACAGATTCTCACTCAGATAAGACCATCTTTGCTTTAATGTACTTCGGAGCAGTATTATTCTTGATATGTGCTATACAGTGTGAAAGATAATATCTATTTTTCTGTGTGTGCTTTGAAAGGTTACTCGTCCATTATGATTAAACTCTGGATACAGCACCCTGGAGTAAAAGATTTCCTTAGACTCATGAATCTACTTTCTTTCCTCAGTTTTGGCACGAGTTGCCAGGAGGACAGGGTGCTCTGGGTGGAAACACCCAAAATCCAGTCCTGTTTTCTCCTGATGGTGTTGAATGGACTGGGACAGTCTTATGTCTGTCTAACCCGGGAAGGGACGTTTAGTGTGTATTGGAGAATTTTAACTTGGCTGTAATTGGAGACAAGAACCACATAAGTTGATTTAAAGACACTAAGCCTGAAAGAAATTCTTTGTGCTCACAATTCAGAATAAGCAAAAGCAGCCTCCTCTTGAGACAAAGTCCTGTCCAACAAAACCCTTGATGGAGGCAAGAGAAAAATCAATGGAAAAATTTTAATGCCGACATAAGCATAATATATCATGCGTGATAATCTTCAGACTTTGAAATCCACTTACAGGCAAACATTTGAAAAAGCAGGGGCTGCTTTACAAGGTGACTTCAGCTTCCTGTAGTTGTGTGAAAAATGTTCAAAGTGTAAGAACAGGACAACTCCTGTCTGTTTTTAGTCTCTGAAAGAAGAAAACAAATACTTGTATTGGTAATGGCAATAGCCACTCCTTAGGAAAATCACAGTAATATAACAACAGTAATAATAGCTAACAGCTATCAAGTGCTTACGCTGTTCCAGGTGCTTAATATGCATGATCTCACTTAATCCTCAAAATGAAGAGGGTTGAATTTTTCATCCCCCTGAAAATAGCTGAAGAGACTGAAGCTCAGAGTGATCAAGAAACTTGCCCCAAATCACAAAAGTACAAAGTGGAAGAGCTGGGATTTGAACCCAGGCAGACTGACTCTACAGGCCACCATGCTATGCTGCTTCTCATTTTATATATTAGGAAGCTGTAGTTTATTTTCCTAATGCCCCAGGTTTTGTTGTTAAGTTGGAATTCTGTTCCAGTTTTCTGAGCTCCAAAACTCATTATCTTGACATTCCTCCATGCTACCTTCCCTAATTAAAGCAAAGCATTAGATTTGAAATATCCTAATATATTAGAGCAGAGGTCAGTGAACTAACTGACCAAATCTGCCCACTGCCTGATTTTGTAAATAAAGTTTTATTGGAATGCAGCCATGCCCACTTGTCTAAGTGTTATCTGTGGCTGCTTTTGTGTTACAGTTGAGTCATTGTGATAGTCAGTGTAAGGTCCACAGCCTAAAATATTTCCTGTCTGGCTGTTCACAGAAAAAGTTTGTTGACTCATGACTTACACGAAACATTTCTTTTCTTTTTCCTAACTAACCTGTGGCCCAAGTCTTCAGCAGCAGCAGCTTTGAGCAAGAGAATAGGTGAAGTGATGACTAGCCTGGCTAACTGTGCTTATTTTAAATCTGAGAGTGTCTGGGGCCAGTAGAAGGGGACAAGTGAGCACAAGGACAGAGGCTGTGGGTGGCTTGTTATTAGTCTTTGCTGTTTTCTCTCTACCTGTCCCAGAATCCCAAGAAAAACTATTCCCTCCTGTATCCCCAGCACCTTCAACACTGCCAGAGATATAGTGGATACACAGTAGATAATTGTTGAATTAATAGTCAGAAATATCTTGCAATAGACCGTGAATTCTGTCTCTAGTCAGTCTCCAGGATGGAGTTCAAGCGCCTTAGCCTGACAGTTGCGATCCTGTCCCCTCCCCCTACGTATCATAACTCATTTGCCTATGCAACACTTTCTATTTTTTCAAGACTTAACTCCTGACCATTTGACCACTCAGGAAGGTCAGGTTTGCTAGGTGGGCTAGATCACAGCTGGCTTTGGAAGAGGACTGATGTGTTCAAAACGATGCTTATGATATGCAAAAGAACCTGTAGGGGGGAGAGACTAGAGGCTAAGGGATCAATTAGGAATCTATTTGAGGTGATAATTGTGTAGACAAGGGCAATGAGAATAGAGAGGAAGGGACAAATCGGAGAGACATTTGAAAGGAAGCATCTTCAGGAATTTGATGACTTAGTGATCTGAGGGATGAAGAGGGAAGTGTAACAGAATAAGAATTTTAGTGTTAGGACTAAGTAGATTTTGTTGTCATTGACGAAAATAGATACTCTCGGAAGAGAAGCAGGGTAAAGGGAGCGAGACAAAGTGTATCTGGAATTAAGATTGGGATTATCCTTCTGATGATACCTGTGTGGAATAGGATATGTGGCATTAGTGCCACTTTCGAGGTGAGGCCTAGAGATTTTGACCCAGTAAGAATTGACAAACACAACATTGTAAATCAACTATACTCCAATAAAAACTTCAAAAATAAATAAAAAAAAAAGAATGGACAGGGCTTCCTTGGTGGCGCAGTGGTTGAGAGTCCGCCTGCCGATGCAGGGGACACGGGTTCGTGCCCCGGTCCGGGAAGATCCCACATGCTGCGGAGCGGCTGGGCCCGTGAGCCATGGCCGCTGAGCCTGTGCGTCCGGAGCCTGTGCTCCGCAACGGGAGAGGCCACAACAGTGAGAGGCCTGCGTACCGCAAAAAAAAAAAAAAAAAAAAAAAGAATGGACAAACTGACTCATTGATTCATTCACTCAACAAATATTTGAGCAGGCATAGTGTGCCAGGCACAGTTCTAGGCCCTTGGGATATATCAGTGAACAAAACAAAGATCCCTGCTTTTATGGAACATGCATTCTAGCAAGAGACAGGCAGTAAATAATGAACATAATAAATAAGTATATAGTGTAATAACGTGTTAAGTGCTATGGAAAAAAGACAAGGTAAGGCAGGGCAAGGTGGCTGGAGGCTCTGGGGGCAGGTGAAGGCCTTTGCAATTTCCCAGATAACATCTAGAGCTCTTTTTCTCTGATCAGTGGTTTGTTATTCATTTTCTGACCAAACTGTCAGAAGAAAAAATTATAGGGCATTGGCTACTGTGTGATATTTTAATAAAGATTCTTTGTATGCCACATCTGGTGGCAATTAAAAAAAGGGAAACTTCTCATGGTTCCCATTTCCTGAATGAGTAGCACTGCAATGAAATTTCGATGAGTTGAGGCTGATAATTTTCAGCAATTTAAATGTCGTTGCCTTTCCTAGAAGGAAGAGCTTTGTTTGTAAACAGCTGGGTCAAAAGAAAACGTAGCCTCATTATTCACATTCTTCTGATAGGCTCCCAGGCAGAACATATGGGGCAGAAGGGATATACAGGGGACTGAAACATAATCACCTAGCTTTGGGGTTTTGTTCTTTGTGATGATGGGGGAAAGGTAAAGAGCTAATTTCATTCTTTCTTAGAAGACAAGTTGGACGGGACGACAAACTTTTTGTAAAGACCGAGAATTCAAGCAATTACCTAGTGATGCATAGCAACATATCTGCATGCTTGCCTTCTTGGATTATTAAGGGTCAAAGTCCCCGCTTGGGTCACACGCTAAACAGCTCTCAGTTTTCCGTGTTTCTTCAACAGGATATGATATGCCAAAGATCCACTTTAATTTCTACTGCCTTCCATTGCCAAGATGCTTATTTGGGGTCCTCAGAGGAGAGGGGATATTTAAAAAGGAAGGAGGGAGGAAAGAGAGGGTGATGTGATTTGGACAGTGTCAGGAGACACAGTTGGTCCAGATTAAGAGAGTGGTATGCGTTGTAATTCTAAAATGGCCTCAGCTCTATTGAAAATAGAGAAACTTAATTCTTTGATGTGGAAATGAGCTAAAAGGGGAAGGAAAAGGTATACTTGTAAGCTCTGGGCTTTTTTTTTCTGTGTTGCTTTTCCTAAGCCGGTGAAATCCTCCAGGTGCAAAGGGCAGCCTGATGCTTGAAGGGACACCGGTCATGCAGCAGCCCCAGATTTCCCTCCCTTTGTAGTTGACTGAAGCAGCTGCAGCCACAGCAGTTGGCAAGGTAAGATCCTGGCTTCCTGGAAAAATCCTGAGAAGAACCCAGCGTCAGTCAGAGTATATTTGGGTCTTTTCCAGGTGCAGGTTAACTAGGAAGAAGGGCTTGAGGTTGGAACAGTTTTTAACGTAAAACTTTCTGTGCTCAGAGAAGTGGGCTCACATGCAGCCATCTTTGGAAACGAACCATTTAAAAAAAAATTTTATTGAAATATATTTGATTTACAGTGTTGTGTTAGTTTCAGGTGTATGTCAAAGTGATTCAGTTATATATATATATTCTTTTTTTACATTCTCTTACATTAACGGTTATTACAAGATATTGAGTAGAGTTCCCTGTTCTCTATAGTAGGTCTTTGTGGTTATCTATTTTATATATAGTAGTGTGTATATTTTAATCCCAAACTCCTAATTTATTACCCACCCCCCGCCCCGCTCCCCTTTGGTAACCGTAAGTTTGTTTTCTTTGTCTGGGAGTCTATTTCTGTTTTGTAAATAAGTTCATTTGTATCATTTTTTTAGATTCCACATATAAGCGATAGCATAGGAAAGGAAACATTTTCAGTTAGAAGAGCCCTCACCAAAGTATGTCTTCAGTGGAAATGCATTTGTTTAATATTACATTAGTGATTTCTACCCCTTGTACCTACCCAATTCAACAAGCATTTTATTAAACTCCTAGTACGTTCTTAGGACTCTGTGAGGTGCTACAAACTGTCATGAAGGAGTAAACCTGAATTAATGACAAAAGAAAATGAAGCCATTTTTTAAGAATCTTCATAGGAATTCCATTATGGGAAGCAATAAGAAAGCAGGGATCCCACATTAGTGATACCCCCTGCCATTCCTTATCCTTATACGCAGCACACACACAAACACACACAGACGTGCTCAGGTAGAAATGCTCTTTGGGTAAAAATACCCACGGCTTTTTACGCAGTGCCAGTTGGCCTGGCTGGGCTACCCCATGGTGTTGTCTCATTGATGAAATGCTGATTAAGTTGCTTTGTGCTCCATAATGGACCAGTGGGTCATTCTCTGTTTCTTGTCGACTTCAAACAGGCTGGGCAGTCTGAGTTTGTTTTAACTCTACTGACCCCAAATGCCTTTTGTCTTTATCAGACTTTATTCTTATCTTTTCAGAAATGGAATGGTTCCTCTTTTTCCTGTTTCCTCAATATTTTCCTAAAAGACACAAACTTACAGAAGTTGTTTCTGAAAGTGGAGCTGACTGGAAAAGTACCCAGTTTTGTTTCTAGATATCTATTTGTAGAATTTTCCAAAGTCAGTCCTTCAGAGACAGGGGATTCCATCTCAATCTACCTTGAAAGGCGATTGAATTAAACAAGCATTTGGTGAGTATCTGCTTTGTATCTGGCTTTGTTCTGAGGGAGTTAGAGAGGAAGTAGGATTTGTCCCTGCCCTTGAGGAAGGAAGTAGGATTTGTCCCTGCCCTTGAGGAGTTTAAAGTCAAATTGAATAAGAGGCAACACTAATTAAACCAAGAATTTACTTATGAGTTTTTGAATTCACATTCTTGGCTTCAGTGTTTCTATGTATAATGGCCAAAAGGTTCCAGTACTTTTAATCTATGTATCATAGTAGATTTAGTTGTTCATGAAAAAAGGCCTCTCTAACCCAAATGAAGGAAACTCAGTCTAGATGTTGGGGATGCTTTAACTAATTTTCAAGCTAATTTGGCTTAATTAGTTCTTTTCCTAATAGTACTTTGTTCCAGACTCTATGACTTTGAACATTAAGCACTCACCCAGCCACTTTCCCTGGAGAGGTAAAGCTGCATCAGGCATGAATCCAGTTCTCAAGGAGCTCACTGCCAAGCTCAGCAGGTGAGACAGAGCACGAGGGAAAAAGGCATTGGTGCACAAGAACAAGAACCACGGGACCAGTAACTGGGGTCTTGTCCTGAGAGGCTGTGAGAATCACTCCACTGCTTTTTCTTCAGGGTAACTTCATCTCCCCACATCATGATTTACTGTAAGGATTGTGGGAAATGCTTTGCCCCCTTTGGATGAAAGGTGTATTATATAAGGTCTGTAAAAGGTTTTTGGATACGTTTAGGAAAAAATAAGTGATAACAATGATAGTAATATCTAGCATTTATTGAATGCTTATTATACGCCTGGCATTAAACTAAAGATGGGAATACGGCTTTAATCTGTAACTCTATTTTATATCCGTTGAGCCCCAAATTATCAAAATATTTATTTCTAAATGTGCCCTGTTCATAATCTGTTTTTAATTGTTAACCTGGGTGATGGTTTCATGGGAATTCATCATACCATTCTCTCTACTTTTGTGTTTTGAAATTTTCCATAATCAGAGGCCACGCAAAAAAAAGGAAGGGGCCAAATAAACTTCATTAACCTAAATAATACCTCAGATAAACGATGAAGGTGAAGAAAGAAGGAAGAAAACCGTTCTTCAGCATTTATAATGTACCAGATCCTTCATATACTATCTGTGACTTAACTGTGATCCCATTTTACAAATAAGGCAACTGAGGCTCAGAGAGATTAAAAGACTTTTTTAAGGAGTTGAACGCTGGCCAAAGCTTATGTATGCTCTTTCCAATACACCATATTGCTCTATGGGTCCATATAGTTTCTAAGGGCAGGATCCCTGTGTTTCTTCTTGGCAGCCTCAAGTGCCAGTGGGTGAAATCACAGTTCAAAACCAGATAAAATGTTTTGAAAACAATATGACATGTACGCTTTAGGAAAAATTTCGAAGCAATATGTGAAAACTGGCAAAGCAATGGTTAATGATAATTTATATCTGAGAGGAACGTCCTTAAATGTCCATTCTGTGTGTGGGAGGGCGCAAGCATGTATAACATTGGGGACTTTGGGGTAACCAACATTTATTTCCAGACATTTCACAACCTCCCTTTAAGGTTAGGTATAAGGCCCATCTCACAGATGAGTAAAACGAGGCTGAGAGAGGTCCAAGTTGGCAACACCAGTGTATGGTGGTGCAGCCATGGAGTGGGGCGCACCTGGAGTTCAAATCCAGCCTGGCCTGACCCTCAGTGTACATCCTCTCACCACAACAGTGAGTGCTATGTTAGAATCGGATTCTTTCTTCTGTGGAAACAGCATGTATTAAAGGTTAGAGAGGGTCAACCAAATTCCTCCATGGGGCCTGGGAGGGGGAAGAGTTGGGTGTGACAAGATGGCAGCGTTTCTTTATCACGAGGCAAAACTCCCCCCACTCTGTTTGGATTTAGTCTGCACGGACCAAACTGAACAGAAGCGAATTGTCCCATCTGTTGTCAAAACCATCCTCCCTGACTTCAAAGAGTCCCGGCCCCGGAGGGAGAGACCCCCGGGGCGCAGAGGGAGATGGAAGCGCAGCCCCTCGGCCTCCTGTCAGCCGCTTCAGTCTCTGGGGGCTGGAGCCGCTGCCTGTCATCCCAGCTGACTTCTCTTTGAATCTGCGGCTCTTCACCACCCCCTGCCTTCCCCTCCGCTCAAACAGACCCAAGGCCCGATTTCTGTTTGAAGTGGACGTGCTACTCTTCACACTGCGGGCGCTGTCGCGGAGGTGCAGCGGCATTAGAGGAAGCGGCTCCCTGTGGGGCGAGGCCACCTAAGCCTCAGGCGGCAGCCTGCGCTTTCAGGCGCTCTCGGGGCGATAATGGCATTCTAGACTTTTCCACAGGGGTCCTGAGGCCCCCGAGGGATCTTAATTAAAGTGGCTTTGTGGGTCTTGGAGGCAAACACCGGCCCAGAACTCAGGGTGGGAGCTCGTTATAAGTTCTGGTTCCGTTTTTCCCTGGCCTCAGAGAGTCTAGGTTCATAGGAGCAAAGGAAATGAAAGAACTGGACCTACTGTCTAAACCCTAAAGCAGAAACCTCTGCTTTCACCTGAATAACCAGAGCTCTCCGGCAAAGCATCACCTGGTCATTTCCCTTTGCTGGTGTAGAAATGATGATCGGGAAACCACACTGGAAATCGCTCAAATTACCATGCACTGGAGCGAAGCTTTCTCCTTTCTGAGATTATTCTGAGGAAAAGGTAATAAATAGATCTGTAAGGAAATTAGTTATCTTAAAGTTTACTTACATATATTAGTTACTACCTTTTAATGAATGATATTTAGATGAAAATTTTGTTATTTTGCTATAGATCAAGTATCTCCCTATAGACATTTCAAATGTAGCTCTAAGGAGAGTAAATATTTTTTAAAAAGATGAAAAGTTAAATATAAGATTCCCTTCTCTGTAAAAAACTTTTATAAAGGTCAATAATTTTGAGGGGTGTGTGTGATTTCACTTGAGTATTACTTTTTGGATAGAATCATAGACTATATCTGCTTTGAAAATGTTATTTTAAAAAAGAAAAATGAAGTGTGGGTGCCGTTTTTTAATACAATATCAATAATTTACTTGTTAAGATGACACAATTAGACAGGATTAAAAGAAATATTAGTCTCCAAGGATAATTTATATTGATGCCTTTCTCTCTGTTCTTAAAATATGAAATTATTTACACATCCCACTATATTATTTTGCAAATTGTGGTAGTTTCACAATTTGGAAATATATATATATATATATATATATCACAGATGTGTGTAATTAATTAGTGTCAGTTTACCTCCTAGACCTTAAACTCCATGAAGGCAGGGACTATGTCTGATTTGTTTACCATTTTGTCCCCAGCGCCAGACATGTATTAGGTGCTCAAATATCTGTTGAATACATGAATAATCCCTCAAAGAGGTGCAACGTAATGATGATGGTATATATTTGATTTTATCTTATAAGAATGCCTGCTTTAAATTTTTTTCTCTTAAGAGACTCAGGTTATACACTTGGACTTTGTGATTTTAAGAAATCACTAACACTTATCTATAAAAAAATATGACTGAAAATATTCTTTGGATTGTCAAATCAGATGTGCAATGGTTTGCCAGTTCATGGGATTGAAACTTTCAAATAATTGGTGACTGGTCCCAATAAATCAGAGTAAGGGCAAAATCCACTGAATATAATTGTTTAAAGAGGCCACTTGTAATTGAAACACTTTTAAATTTTGCCTAGGGATGAAGTAGTCTTATTTCATGGTGGTGTTACCAGAGCAAGTAGTTCTAGGGTATTTGCATGGTTGCTATGCTGCGCTTTCCATCTGTAAAGATAACCAGCTGAAACGGCAGAGCTAAGGGACTGAAGTCCAAAGCTGGTGGAGACATCAGTGATTGAGAGTGTGGGCAGCGCCAGGCACTGCCGGACAGATGTGCTGGGAATCCACCCCCAAACTTCATGGAATCACCTTGCGTTCGCTCCTTCAACAGAAATCTGGTGCCGGGGAACTTCTTTCACAGCGCTAAAAAAGAGCTAAAAGATAACCTTTTCTTCCAGGAATAAGGATGCCTCTGGTTGTGCACGAGTCAGTGAGGGTGGAAGAATCTGTTTCATAGCCTTGCAGACAAGACCAGCATTGTCAAAAGTTTGCTGTTTCCGCTGCCATTCCCTGATTCCCCTCTGCCCTCAAAAGATTTGTAAAGTGGTCAGGGCCATGATGTTGCCCAGTTTCGCTACCAACCTTCTTTTCTCTTGATCTTTTGTTTCAATGTCTGCTTTCTTTCCCCTACGTGCTCACTGAAGCCTGATTGTGGGGTCAGGCTATAATTAGTTTATATATGAAGTTTAATTCACTGTGGCTCTTCTGGCATTAGACTCAGATGGGCTTTGATGTCTGGCTGGAGCTTTGATCCCAGTCCCTCGAATGGTGGTCATCACCCCAACTCAAAGGATTGCCCTTTATTTTTTTCCCTCCTATTCGGAGACAGCTTTTCCCAATTACATCATTTGTGTTTGGCTATAAAAGCTGCAAGGCATCATTTTGTTGCTTTGCTCTATAGCGAAACGTGCAATTGATGCTCCTTACTTTGCTTGGCTGCAAAAGAATGTTCACTGCTGGATAAGGGCATTTGTACAGTGGTGCTCAGACTTTGTGAGGGTGCTGTTGGGAGTTGTTCTGCCCAAGGGCAAAGCGTCAGACTGTGTGATCTGAGGGACCCTTTCTGACTCTGCCCAGGAAATATCTTTAAGCATAAGCTACACGACTGTGATATATTCAGTCGAGACTCTTTTTCATGCTGGCAACTTTATCTTACTCTCCAGATCTTCTGGGCAGCAGATCCACCCCGCCTTTAATGTCACACTTTCTGAGCGTCGATTAGCAGCTTGTCTGAGAAGACAGAGGCCTCCAGGGAAAGCAAAAGAAGTAAGGAGAGCTGAGCGATACTACAAAGAAGATGAAGTGGCGTTAGAGGAGGAAGAAGCACCAGCACTTGCTTTAAAAAGAAAGGGAAAGAAAAATCAAATCGGGGGGTGGGGGTGGGGGGACACTTCTCTGGTGGCGCAGTGGTTAAGAATCTGCCTGCCAATGCAGGGGACACGGGTTCAATCCCTGGTCCAGGAAGATCCCACATGCCACGGAGCAACTAAGCCCCTGGGCCACAACTACTGAGCCTGAGCTCTAGAGCCCGCAAGCCACAACTACTGAACCCGCGTGCCACAACTACTGAAGCCCGCGCGCCTAGAGCCCATGCTCCGCAACAAGAGAAGCCACGGCAATGAGAAGTCCGCGTGCTGCAACGAAGAGTAGCCCCCATTCGCCACAACTAGAGAAAGCCTGCGTGCAGCAATGAAGACCCAATGCAGCCAAAAATAAATAAAACTTAAAAAAAAAAATAGGGGGAAGTGAGATCCTGTCTCTGACAGGAGGGAGCAGTGAACAGTGGGTGATTACCTTCAACTGCATCCCAAATACCTGCAACCAAAACAAAGAATCAAAGTGGAAAGAAAGCCAGAGGACTAAATTGGAGAGGAGAAAAATTGGCTATTGGGTTAAGAAGAGAAGAGGGGCAACCCAACCAGGCACATTTAATCTGACGACATTGCGAGTTTTCCTGGCAAAACAATTACAGCATTGAGCTCCTTGCTTCTAACTTCACTTGACAGCCTGAGTTTGTTTTAATTGGCACGTGAATGAGCAGCATTATTTATTAATGTGTAATGGACACTTTAGAAAGCATGACCTTTTTTCCTATTTGCGACCATTTTATTGGCAGAACCATTTGAATACATTACTTTTAATATTGAAACTTGCTGGGAACACTTTTTCATGGAGATGTACAAGCTGTTAGGGCAAATGGTTGGCTTTGGACTAATGAGCCAGCTCAAAGTGGCATTTGGTGGGTAGGGGGCTTGGAAGGTGGGGAGGTTTGGAGACACAGCGACTTGTCTGCTTTAACAAGATTTATTAGTAGTGTGTAAAAACATGTTTCAGCTTTTTTCCCCCCTCAACTATATAAATATAGTTGTCGATGTGTGACATAACACAGGCCACAATAATAGATTCCACCCAGCCAGAAGGAATCTAATTCAGAACTAGAAAGCAAGAAGCTTGCCTAGAAATGAGTAGAATGAGACAATGACAGAGGACATGGGTGAGTGGCATTTGGTAGACAGGATTAGTCATTATTCTTTAGTGCCTTACTAAAATTAGGGAGGAAAATTTCCTTCCTGTATTATTAAGTATGGTGTCTGGCACACAGTAGGCATAAAGCATAGGTGAACTGAATGGAATTAATTTTGTTTGTTGATGAGCGCCTAAGCATAATTCCATTTTTAGATCTAATATACAATCTGGTTGATTATGAATCATAGTTGTAGTTATAGTTCCAGTTAGTCTGTGAGGGGCAGCAATGGGGAAGTCAATGGAGGGTGGCAAGAGAACTCTTGTTTTTGTTTTTTGGTACATGTCAACTTGACTCTATTTGTTGCAGAGATTAAATGGGTACTATTAAGTTAGTTGGAAAGTATGTTAATGAAAAAACAATTTACAACCAACCTGCAGTTTCTTGAACGCTTGCAAAGGCATTGTCCTGAGTACAGTAATACTAAGAGGATATTAAAACAATCACTGCCTTCAGGGAACTTTAATAATGTAATTGGAGAGAAGGGATACACATAAACACCTACGTACATAGATGTAAGTGTACATACCCATATAAGTAACCATACAAATAGCATTTGGTAAGAATCAAATATTCATGCAGTTAACAGGAGTTCAGAGGAGAGAACTGAACTGATCTTGGAGGGAAGAAGGTTGGACTACGCAGAGGGGAGAAATGGAGAATTCTTAGCAGGGCTAAGCAGCTGGGTAAAGGTGTAAGAGTCTGAAATAATGATATAGGATGCACTCCTTCACACAACACTTTGCCTGAACTTCAGCAAATTGCGACTTGCTGGATTCGATTTCTGAGGCTCTTGGATGTACTGCTGTTTAAAAGAGATATGGTACTTTTCCCTAGACAAGCCAGCTAGTGGCATTTCCAGACCCCTATCCCACTGAAATTCCCAGTGACCAGTGTCCCAAGCAGAGATGGCCATACCACAAATGCTACCGCAGGGGAAAAGTTTATTAGTCCCTCTGGAGGAAAAAAAAAGATACAACTCATATAACCTTTACTATCTATGTGCCTGCCACGTTGTAAACACCCCTACTCCCATATATATTATATACTGTATATTATTATAATTCTTACAACAGCCTCCTTCTGTTAGTAGCTCCATTTTACCTTTGAGGAAACGGAGGCACAGAGAGGTGAAGTTACTTGCCTGCACAGCTAGTCTTGGCTGGAAAGGGGATTCAGATTCAGGCAGTCTGGTTTCAGAGTCAGAGTTCTTGTGATCGCAGACTAAATAACAACAATAAAAAACTCAAACAAAAATCAAAGCGCGCAGGCGCGCGGACTCACTAAACCCGGCGCTTGCAAAAGAACTGATGCAATCGCTTGCTATAGAGCGACATCCTCCTGCCTAATTTTATTGATAAATGCCTTCCGTGAAAAGATTAAAACAACAGCAACAAAACTAAGAGTGAAACAGTTTTAGGACAACGTTGCACTGTGCCTTGTAGTGCCTGCCTTTACAACTTGGAGTCCAAAAAGCCAAACCCAAGAAATGGTCTTTGAATACATTCGCTGTACCTTGCTGGGTAAGGTGAAAGAAACCTAAATCAGCCTGAGTGGGTACGAACAGTGGACGGGTGGGGAAAGGGTTAACGTTGTGTGCTTCAACTCGGTCGAGTTTCAGAAAGTTCTCTGGGGAGCCCAACTGCCGAGTCCCTTCGCGGACCCTGCCTGCGAGGCCGACTGTAACAGGATGCTGGGGCTCGAGGTGCTCGCCCCTTGCTTTGTGCGAGGGAAAAGAACCAATAAGGAGCGAGGCAAAAACTGGGTGCTGTAAACCCGAAAAGGGGGCGAGGAGGCCCGCGGGAAGAGCGGGGGAGGAGAGAGGGAGGAGCGGGGAGGGCCCGGCGAGGAGGAGGCCGGCGCCGAGCGCGAGCAGCGCCCCTGACACTAGAGGGGGAAGCCGGGGGGGAGCGGGCCTCGCAACCGAGGGGCCGGCGCGGGGAGGCGGGCGCCGGGCGGGGGTTCGCCGGGCCGCCGCGCGTGACGTAGCGCCGGGCAGGGCGTTATCAGCTGCGGGGCCGCGGCGAGGGACGCGTGGCGACAGCGGACGGCGCCGCCCGGTCCCGGACGGCCGCAGGCAGCGGCCGCGCGCGGGTTCCGAGCGCTCCGGGTCTCCGCCCCTGCCGCCGCGCCCCGGCCGCCGGGAGGCATGAGTCCGCGGCCGCAGCCCTAGCGCCCGCTCCTCCGCCCGGGCGGCCCGGCTGCGGGGACGGGTGCGCGCTGTAGGGTTGGGGGCCATGAAACCGAGTCCGGCCGGGACGGCGAGGGAGCTGGAGCCGCCGGCGCCGGTCCGGGGCGAGCAGCGCACGGCGGAGCCCGAGGGGCGCTGGCGGGAGAAGGGCGAGGCGGACACGGAGCGGCAGCGCACCCGCGAGCGGCAGGAGGCCACGCTGGCCGGGCTGGCGGAGCTGGAGTACCTGCGCCAGCGCCAGGAGCTGCTGGTCCGGGGCGCCCTGCGCAGCTCTGGGGGCGCGGGGCCAGCTGCAGCCCGCGCCGGGGAGCTGCCGGGGGAGGCGGCGCAGCGCAGCCGCCTGGAGGAGAAGTTCTTGGAGGAGAACATCTTGCTGCTGCGGAAGCAATTGGTAGGTCGTGCCCGGAGGTGGGGCACGGCTGTCCCTGCAAACGGGCCGGGGGTCGGGCAGGTGGCCTGCGGTGGGCGCTGGGGTAACTCTGACTGGGGAAATCCTTTGGCTTCCCGGGACCCCCGCCCGATGCCCCCCTGACCCGGGTTCCCGAGGGCGCCTGCGGCGCGTGGGCTGCGGACGCCCACGCGATCCCGGCGTGTGCCCGCTTTGTGTCAGGTAAGGGGCTGACAACCCCGCGCGGACGGCCGGGCGGGGGTGGCTGCTCTCCCCTCCTGCTCTGCCTTTAGAATTCTTGGAGTCTCCTGGTTGTTACCTTCAAACTCTCCAGTTAGACGAAAGCGTGCCCTCTCCCCGAAGGTTTGCAAAGCCTCATTTAAAATAGCATTTCTTTGGGGAGCTTCTTGGCTTCATGGTCTCCCGCCGAGAGGGGACAAAAGCCGAGGAGGGGGCTTGTGGCGCGGTTGACTGTCCAATGCCGAATTTTACGATTACACGGAAGCGGCCGCGGGGAACCTGCCCCTCCCAAGGCTTTCCCCAGCCTGCCAGCTTTTGCCGGGGCTGCTGCTTAATTTAAGATAGAAGCCCTTTTGTATAAGGCGGCTAAAACCGATGCAAATGATGGAAATTTGGCTGGAGAAAGTGCCCCCTCCCCTCATATTTTATATGTACTGCTCGCTGTGACTTGAGGTGGAGGTGGGCGAGGAGAAAAACCTGCTCTCAGGGAGCACGTATCATTGGATTTGTGTCAGCGTCTCAGACATTCTCTGCCGTCTTCATTAATGGGAAAGAAAAAGAACTTCGGCGCTTAATGTATTGATGAACAGCTTTTGACCCAGCCTCAGAGTAATGGCGGCAGCTTTGTTTCGGTGACCTCAAAAATGTAGTTTTGAAAACAGGAGAAAAAAAAATCCTTATCTGACCATGTGATACTATCTGAAACTAGACGCATGCTAGATAATGTCCCTCCTACGATTACCAACAGTGATGCTGTGTGGTTATTTGTTAAGTATTTTCTTGTATTATCTCTTTTCAGATAATTTGTCTCTTTTTTTGAGCATCAAAGTGCTTCGACTTGTTTGGTTCATTTTTTCTGAACTCATTCTAACAAACAAGCATGTTACGTCTCCAAGCTTTTTAAGTCAAAGAACAGACAGGAGGGGTAGATTCATATGCATCTGTTTTGTAAGGATGTACAATACGTATATGGTGGTTTCTGCAATACCTCTGTTTTGGCATTTTGCTGTGTTTTTTTGGTAGCAGACACTGATTTGAGCCAATTCTTGCTGGTTATGCCTGTCATTGACATTGTGTGCATTGTCTTATACAATAGCACCTTCTCGTCTTCATGAATCTCACAACTGTGAGTGGCGCATTCCTGTTGACCCCTGGAGGGGAGCAAGGCAGCATGTCAGGAGAATTCCCGCCCACTCAGTGTTTGTGGTACTGTTTTCATTTGTAGACTTGGCATTTGTGATTTGAACCAGATGCCTTTTGAGTTTTGTTTTTTTGCTTCCCCAGCAATAGGAAGCACTAGGTGGCGGTGTGAGTTAGCACTACGGTCTGTCACCTTTGGAAACCCGAGCTGAGTTCAAATCTTGATGGACCTTCCCTTGAGGGTTTTGGATTCTGCCAGCTCACATTATACTTGGCACTGGCTATTGGTATTAGTTTCTCACTTTCAAAGGCCCTAAGACTGATTAAACCCCACAAAGCAACTAATAGAAAACAAAACTCTGCAGGACATTTGGCCAGAAAATCTCACCTAAGTAAGATTATAGTGTATTGTAGGAAATCTGTTATACTCTGACAAATTAAAGAGTCTACAGTGAAGTACTGTTCTGTAAAAAACTGGCTGTACACAGAGGTTTTTTGAAAAATCTCAGTGGGTTTTTCTCATACTACCTATAAAAAGTAAGTTTATATATATATATATATATATATATATATATATATATATATTAGTTGAAACTAAAAGCAAGTCTTGTTTTTATGAAGAAACTATATCACCACAAAATGTGAGAAAGTGGAATTCAACGTAGGACATATTCTTGAAGTTTTTCTTTATTTCAGGTCATCCAGTAAAAATTTTGGTTTTGGAAGACTTAGGGAACTCTTCAGATGATAATTTGAATACTTCGAGCCAGACTTTCTGGTTCTTTGTCACCAAAATGTGTTTGTTTTTCCTTTCTCCCTTTCTTCCTAATCAGAATTGTTTGAGGAGAAGAGATGCTGGTTTGTTGAACCAGTTGCAGGAACTCGACAAGCAGATAAGTGACCTGAGACTGGATGTGGAAAAGACATCTGAGGAACACCTGGAGACAGACAGCCGCCCCAGCTCAGGTGAGTGTGGCAGCACAAGGAGGAATTCTGCGGTCATGAGTTCTGCCTTGGCCCCCTGTGCTTAGCGTTCCCAGACCTGCAAATGGCAGTGGAGTTCGTTTCCAGTGCAGAGAGAATAAAACAAAACAAAACAAGAGAAGTCTGCCATTCAGTTGCATAAGAGGGAAACAAAATCAGAAAACAGAATTTTTTAAAAATTTGTTTTGTTGAAGTATAGTTGATTTACAATGTTGTGTTAATTTCTACTGTACAGCAAAGTGATTCAGTTATACGTATATACACATTCTTTTTCATATTCTTTTCCATTATGGTTTATCACAGGATATTGAATATAGTTCCCTGTGCTATACAGTAGGACCTTATTGTTTATCCATTCTCTATATAATAGTTAGCATTTGCTAATCCCAAATTCCCAATCCATCCCTCCCCCACTCCCCTCCCCCTTGGCAACCACAAGTCTGTTCTCTATGTGAGGCTGTTTCTGTTTCGTAGATAAGTTCGTTAGACAACAAAATTTTTAATAATGAGATTGATCTGACTGAAGTCTCCTGAGTTTAAAAATAAAAGCTTCTATTCAGATTTCTGGAAGAGTGCTCCTCCTTTGAAACTTGAGAAAGTCAGAACTGGGCTAGAAAATTAGTCACACTTCAGCTTCCTGAGACCACTTCAAAAGTGTGTTCTTTTTTTCTTTTAAACCATTTGGCTACTTAAATAGATTTGTTTTTCTCTTCAAGTTATTCTTTCTGAAATGTTCATGAAAAAGTTGAAGTTTGACAGATCTAAGTCTCTTTCCTTGCACATCTTTAAAGGTGGGGTCTCGGAGTAAGGTCAGTTTGAGAGTGAGGGTGCTCTCAGCTTTGAAACATACCCATAGTTATGGGCTTTTTGCCTTTTTCCAAAGATTGCTGGAAATGAAACCATAAAGTCAGGACACTAAATCTCGTGAACCAAAATTGGTGCCCCTCCCTCTCATATTCTCCCTTTCCTACCTTTTCTACATGATTACCCCTTTTCCTTTTAGGCACAAATGTGTGTTATTGCTTGATATGATCTTAATCCCAAATGGTGTTTTTTATTTGTAGGGTTTTATGAACTGAGTGATGGGGCTTCAGGATCCCTTTCCAATTCCTCGAACTCCGTCTTTAGTGAGTGTTTATCCACTTGTCATTCCAGCACCTGTTTTTGCAGCCCCTTGGAGGCAACCTTGACTATCTCAGATGGTTGCCCCAAATCTGCAGGTAAGACTCTTTACAATTGATAGACATTTTTAATTGGAAGGGGTCAAAGGTCCTTAAAGGTTGTCTAGCTTCTACTGATGAAAAACAAAGGCTCAGAGAATTTCATCAGCTTTCTGCATTTAGTGCCATAGCTGCATCTAGAATCAAGATCACCACTATTCCAGTCCTCTTTGGGTATCACCTGGCTTTATATTCTGATGATAGCAAGATGACTTATTTTTAGAAATCCTGTCCCAATATTATAGTTCTTGAGCTCTGTTTTTGAGCTTTTGCTGTTCAGTTGTTTGCATTTTCTTTTCAAAATTACTTTGGATCTGTTTTCTTCTTCTGTTAATCATTTAAAGCTAAAGCTTACATTATATATATATATATATATATATATATATATATATATAAAATAAGATAAATATATCTGTCAGCCTGGCTAAGAGCTGCTTGGCACTTCTGGTAGCAGTGGCCCCTCCGTGTTCTCCAGAATGCCTTGCATGATGGCAGCTCTCTTCTTTTAGCAGGTGGATAGGGTGAGATCCCCTAGACCATGTTGCCCATTTTGGGCTATTCTTGCAGTGACCTCTAGAGAGAATCATGCCATTGTTGATACAGGAAGAGTTTCTGCATTTCCACCATGTGTCACACACTGCTGTGTGCTCTGCATACGTTTATCTGCTTTGAATCCTCCCAACAGTTCTTCAGGGTGCAAGTGTTGTTAGCTCCATTTTATGTATCAGAAAAATGAGGCCTGCTGAGGTCAGCTTAGGTGAGTTGCTTAAGGTTATATAGAGAGTAAGTGACAGAGGCAGGGTTCAAGCTCAGGACTATCTGCCAGGTCCATGTTTTTCCACCACACCAAGGGAATCCAGAAATTGTTGTGTTCAACCTTCTCAACGAAGCAGAGGAGGAATTTGGTTTCATATGCCTTTGTCAGAGGCTTCTCATTTGCTGAATGGCAGAGTTGTTGCTGAAACTCGGGACACCTTCCTTAGTTCTGCTTTAGTACGATTCCTCAGAAGATCAGAGAAAATATGGAAGTTAGAGGAGCTGTGGGTCCTGGCACAAGTCACTGCACCCTTGGTTTGTATGTGTTGTCCACTTGGGTAAAAGGTTGAATTTCTGAGGTCCAGGCAATGCAAACATAACACTAAACAACTGAGGCTGCTAATTGGCTGATGTCTTTGTACCGTGTGTGTTGTTAGCAGCAAACGATTGGTGAAGCACAAATCTGTGTTATCTAGAGTATCTGGGCCTCAAGTTCATTGGTAATTGCTCCCTTTCACTCTGCAGATCTGGTTTCAGAGGGAAATTTTATAAACCTATTAAAGGTACTTTGGTATAGGTTTTCCTTAAAGACAGACTCCTGCTATCCCAAATGCCACATCTTCACATAATTGAGACAGTTGGGCTGGCCCTTGCCGGCTGGGATGCCTGTCTGTTTCCTTAACTTTATGGAGGAAAAAGAGATGAAAGATGTCGTGTAGGTAAATGTGGCTTAAAGTAAGACAGGGATAGGCCTTGGGGTAGTGAGGAGGAATGGGCAAGGATATTAGCTAGAGAGGTTTCCCCTTCTTACAACAAGTTATTTATTGGCAGTGGAGGTGGGATTGGGGACATGGCACTTTTATTTTACAATAATCTTTTGTCTACAAATGGATCATATCATTTCTGGGTCTAGACTGTATTCCCCCCTTCCCCGCCCCCCTCCCCCAACTGCTAATTATCATTGGAATTCGTGGAGCTTTCCCTTAAATTAACAATTAACATAGAACCTAGCATGTAGTGCGTTTTCAATATTTGAGTGAATAAATATAATTATAATGGACAACAAATTAAATAGTGACAAAAACTTTGATTTTCTCTAACTAAAGGTCATTCAGGGGATTTGATATTTATAATGTATGCCAAGACGAGAGCAAAATCATTTAATTAAGCAAGAAAGCTTGATGTCATTGTATTTTGGCATCTACATTTTTGAGATGTGGGAAATTTATTCATTAATACTACTACTCAGTCTTTTAAAACATCATCAAGAATTCCCTCCTGAAATATTGTACTTTATTTTTTAGTGTCACTATTGAAAACATAGGGTGATTATTATTTAAATTTAATTAGTCTCTATTGAAATTTGGTTACCCTGACCTTTCAATTGACAGTTATACTAGAACACATGTGATTAAGAATTAGGTCTAAAAAAAAAAATTAAAAATGAGGAGGAAGCCCATAGAGAGTATAGTTTATCTGAAGTATTTTAAAGGGAAACCGGGAATAGAACACAGAAGGGAGAGTGGCCTAGAGAAAGAACGACTCGAAAAACATTTATTTTTCCAGTAATAACGCAGTACATATTTACTGAAAATTTAGAAAATAGAAAATAAAGAAGAAAGTAAACATTACTTGCTTTCCCACCACATTGAGATGCTAGTGCTCTATTAGCATCTTGGTGTGCTTCATTTCAGGCTTTTTTCTTTGAATATATCCAGTCTTAATAAAACTATAATCAATAGTCTGTTATTATGATTTTCACTCCACTTTAAGGTGTTTTCCCCATATTATTCAATAGTTTGAAAGATTTTTTTTTTTTTTTTTTTTTTTTTTTTTTTTGTTTTGTGGGCCTCTCACTGTTTTGGCCTCTCCCGTTGCGGAGCACAGGCTCCGGACGCGCAGGCTCAGCGGCCATGGCTCACGGACCCAGCCGCTCCGCGGCATGTGGGATCTTCCCGGACCGGGGCATGAACCTGCGTCCCCTGCATCGGCAGGCGGACTCTCAACCACTGCGCCACCAGGGAAGCCCTGAAAGCATTTTTAATGACTGTATTTTTCCTTCAGAGTTATAGCTTGTTAAAAATTCCTTTGTTAATTATTTTTTCCGTCACCCAGTAGTGTGAACTGTATGTGAAATAGTAGAATAGCTTGTGGAGTATTTGTTGATTCTTCGGCATTCTCCCTCTACCCATGAATTTGTCTTCGTAGAAACTGGCCAGAGGCGAGATGGTGCTGACCAATTCATTTCTTCAGAGTGTACCTTTAAAATGTTTTTCAGATCTCATAGGATGGTTGGAATATAAAGAAGGCCACTGTGAAGACCAGGCCTCAGGGGCAGTTGGCCGTTCCCCCTCCACATCACAGTCTAATTCCCTTGGTGTCATTGCAGATGTGAATCCCAAGTACCAGTGTGATCTGGTGTCTAAAAACGGGAATGATGTGTATCGCTACCCCAGTCCGCTTCATGCTGTGGCCGTGCAGAGCCCAATGTTCCTCCTTTGCCTGACCGGCAATCCTCTGAGGGAAGACGAGAGGCTCGGTAGCCATGCCAACGACATTTGTGTCGGATCTGAGCTGGATGCCGTCAAGACGGACACTTCCTTACCCTCTCCAAGCAGTTTGTGGTCTGCTCCCCATCCTTCATTGAGTAAGAAAATGGATGGTTACATTCTGAGCTTGGTCCAGAAAAAAACGCACCCTGTAAGGACCAACAAGCCGAGAACCAGTGTGAACGCTGACCCCACCAAGGGGCTTCTGAGGAATGGGAGCGTTTGTGTCAGAGTGACTGCGGCCGTCTCACAGGGCAACGGTGGGAACCTTAAGAATTCTAAACAGCTGCCTTTGCCCTCTGGCGGGGTCCCCTCTTTGGACAATGGGACGTTGTCCCCACTGAAACAGTGGTCAAAAGAATCAAAGCCAGAACCACTGGAAAGCAAGAGGTTGCCCGCGCCTGAGGGCATCTCCCCAGGCACTGCCACTGAACTTCCAGGTAAGCATCTGACCAAAAATGCCAAGCCAGCCTCCCAGGAACTTGCTAGGTGTCCCCCTGCTGGGGTAGGGGAGTCTCCTAAGGAAAGCGGGCAGATCGCAGCTGCCTCCCCAAAAGAGAGCCCTGGGAAGGTCCCCGCCTCGCTGCAAGAGAACAAGGTGGTCCAGCCACTGAAAAAGGTGCCACAGAAAAACAGCCCGCCAGCTCTCCCTACGGCGGCGCCCCCTCCCGCCGCTTCGGCTCTGCTGTCTCCCGCTTTCCCAGTGGAAGAGCGGCCTGCCCTGGATTTCAGAAGCGAGGGCTCTTCTTCTCAGAGCCTGGAGGAAGGGCCTCTGGGGAAGGCGCCGCCGGTCCTGGCGCAGCCGCCCAGCGTCAGGCCGCCCCGGGGTACACGGCCCGTGGCCACCCCGAGGGTCTCTGCCCTGAAGCCCCGGGCCCCGGCCGTCCACGGGCCGGAGAGCACGCTGCCCGCCGTGAGGGAGAAAGGCCGGGCGGCCGGCAAGAAGTGTCGGTTCCCCGATGATGCGGATACAAATAAGAAACTCCGGAGAGCCCCGGCCAAGGGGCGGCGGGGCGGGGGCGGCCAGTCCGACGTGGGACCACCCAGCCGGCCGCTGGGGGCGGGCCACCGGGCGGGGAGCCGCGGGCACGGCCACGGCCACGGCCGGGAGGCGGTGGTGGCCAAGCCCAAGCACAAGCGCACCGACTCGCGGCGGTGGAGGTCGGCCGCCGAGGTGTCCTACGAGGAGGCGCTGCGGCGCGCGCGGCGGGGCCGCCGGGAGCCCACGGGGCTGTTCGCGGCCGGGCCGCTGCCCTATGCCAGTCCCTACGCCTACGCGGCCAGCGACTCCGAGTACTCGGCCGAGTGCGAGTCCCTGTTCCACTCCACCGTGCTGGACACCAGCGAGGACGAGCGCAGCAACTACACCACGAACTGCTTTGGCGACAGCGAGTCCAGTGTGAGCGAGGGCGAGTTCGTGGGCGACAGCACCAGCACTAGCGACTCCGAGGAGAGCGGAGGCTTGATTTGGTCCCAGTTTGTCCAGACCCTCCCTCTGCAGCCGGTCCCGGCCCCGGACCTTCGCCACAACCCCACCAAAACCTTCGTCAAAATTAAGGCTTCACACAACCTCAAGAAGAAAATCCTGCGCTTTCGGTCTGGCTCTTTGAAACTGATGACGACCGTTTGAGTAACGTCCTTGGTGTAGAAAGTGGGGTTTTTCTAGTTCCCGAAGAAACGGCGGCGTCTTACTGTTTTGTGCGTAATTATCCCATGGAATGCTTTCCTTTGGTTTAGATAAAACCGAGGTGAATTATGTCTCATCTTCGTCAAGTATGGACACTAGTGCCTAGTGCCTTTAGTGGAAGGTGAAGAATGTCTTTGCTGGTTAGAAGTGAATATTGAGTTTCTAATGGTGGTGATAGTGACTTTTGTGGTATCAGATGGTTTTTATTTGACATTTTGTGAGCATCTGTGAAGGCACAGGTTTTGATGTTCAAGTGTTAATGGGATGAGACCTTTTGATCTGGAGGTCAGGTGGATGGAATTTAGGACATACATTTGCTGCTTTGGTTCTTTAGGGCAGCGTCTCCATGAGGGTTTTCCTGTTGGGGGTATCACATACAATTGTGTGAGGTAGATACAAGGGGCAGTCATGGTTTTCTGTAGTTTTTTATATACTCTTCTTTTCTCGGATGTATCCCCATTCTGTATTCTCCTCAGAACTCTTTGGTTTACTGGACCCAGAACTTGAAGACCAGACCCTACATCCAGAGAGGTGACCTGGATAGGGAGGCTGGTAATACCTTAAAAGGATTCACTGAAACCTTTGCCACACTTGGTGCCTAGGCCCTGGTTACAGTAACCCCTTCTAGGGCCATTTACCCAACATTGATGCCTTTCTCCTCCTCCCTAATTTGCAGCAGATCCAACCATTCCTCCCTTGGAGACTTGCCTTTGGGATAACATTTTGGTCATCGGGTACAGAGAAATTCACTCCTAGTGAAATAACCCTTGGGTACGACTCCAAGCTCAGAACTGCTCGCGGGGCACTGTGCCACCTAAGCATTAGCCCAAACGTATTAGTGCAATCCAGTCCAGATTGGACCCCTGACCCTGTTTGGAAGGGCTTTTAAAAAAAAAAAATTTTTTTTTGGTAAACAGTATTGTGTAAAATTCGTTTTTTTATACCAGTATATGCATGTTTTGTGCATGAGTAGTATTTGTTTTGATATTCCTGTTGATGTTAAATGACTGTATGATATAAACAGTATGTGTTTTTATATATCTTTGTGTAAATTTAATATAACGCATTATATGCTGTAATAAACGATTTGTTTTACTGCTGTTAAGTTTGTTATTTGGGTATAAAACCAGATGTTTACACCTGTAAATCTTGTGCTGATTATTGTGGGATTTATATTAGGCCTATTCTAGCATTAGAATATTATTTGCAATAGTAATTAAGGCAGATTTTAGGAGTATTGGAATGGATGGTGAATAAACAAATGAGGAAAAGCAAGCTACTTCTTTAGAATGGTTAAGGTGCTTCTTTAAATTTTAAGGTACATTTGATCTCTTCTAAGGAAAATATTTCTGAGAAGACTTCCCCTCTTTCCCTCGACTTCTGAGTATGAAAAATTTTCAACATGGAAAAGTTGAAAGGATAGTACAATAAACACCTGTACAGCCACCACCTAGATTCAACAATTGTTAACATCTTGCCATGCTTGCTTTAACACTCTTTATGTATTGATATATATTAGATAAAACCATATTGCTGGTTTTGTGGGTCAGACAGATTTTGGCAATCCTCCCTCTCCCCACCACGCTACTACATTATTTTAAAGTAAATTTCAGGCATCATGATATTTCATCTCTAAAAATTTAAGTATGTATTTCCGAAGAACAAGGAGATTCTCCTATATAATCACAATACCATGATCACACCTAAGGAAAATTGACAATAATTCTTCTTATCATCAAAAATTTAATCTCTATTCAAATTTCCCAATTTGTTTCAAGAATTTTTTAGTAGCAGCTTCCCTGCTCCTCCCAACCAGGATTCAGTCAATGTTATACGTTGCATTTGGTTCTAGATCCCTAGTCTTTTAAGTCTGGAATAGCCTCTCCATATTGTTTTCAAATGACATTGGGTTTTTCAAGTCAGAGCAGTTGTCTTGTAGAAGGGCCCACATTCTGAATTTGGTTGTTTCTTTATGTTGTCTTCTAACATCTTCTAGTCCATCTATTTCCTGTAAACTGTGAAGGCTTGATTGGATTCAGGTTAAACATTCTTGGCAAGAAGATTTCACTAGTGATCTTGTGTATTTTATTGCTTCACATCAAGAAACAGAATATCAGGTTGCCCTACTATTACTGAATTTAAGAGTGATCCCTTTAAGAGTCAAGTCGGTGAGCAGAATTTTCTCCACTATAAGGGTTTTGTTTTTCCTCTTTGCAGACGGTTAGTGTTTGTGGGTGACTCTTTGGTAGTGTGTGTGGATATCCTGTTCTTCATAACCTTCCACTTAATGGCTTTAGTTTACTTTGCTGATCCTTGCCTGAATCAGTTATTGCCTTGGGGATGCAAAATGGTTTTCTAAGTATCTTTTCTTCTTTTACTAGCTGACATTCTATAAAAAAAGAACTTTCCTTGTTTTTTTTCCCTTTCTCTTTTTAAAATATCATGATGGATTCGTGGATTTTTATTCATTTGATTCTTTACAATCACTTACGGTTATTGTTCTTTTTGATGCTCAACATGTCCCAAATTTGGCCAGTGGGAGGATACATTTCATTAAAAGGAGACTCTGGAATCAGCTCAGTCTCATAATTCATATATTTATTATGAGATGTACTGCATTAAAATGATTTTTTCACATGCTAAACTGCAATGCAACAAAAAATCCCTTATCTATCCATTTTTTTATTCTGTCTTGGAAATGATCTCTTTTCCTATATTTTATATCCCTCTTAAGAAGGCTTTTAACTTTGAAACTATAGCAAATTATTTCTTCTATAAAACTGTATCTTATCTTTATCTTATAAGACTTTTTTTTCAACAAGACATCTCAGACAATTTTTGAAAATGTAGAGTTGCTAGTCTTTTCATATTCATATGTTTTTATATGCAATCATTCTTCTTTGACTAGAATTTCTTTGGTTACCTGATTAAATCTAAGCCAAGCACAAACAAGGGGATGATCTCTCCATGTTTTCTAATGGTGTGATCCAATCTCTTTGAGGGCAAGTTATAAAGTTTATTGTGTAAGGCAACTGGGACCTGCAGTCCTTGAATCATGTCCAAGTTGTTCTCAATAAGCATTATTCTCAGAAGGGGACGCTTCCTGAAAAACAGCTTCTGAATAATTACATGTTAGGTGACAGAATGCCAAAGGAAGAGAAGCATGAAAAACAGGATTTTTCAAAGAACTTTGGGTTTGTCCACCTCTGTCTATTGCTTGACTTCCCTGTAGCTAGCAGTTGTACCGCACTTGGAAAATTGGGTTTTGTCCATTATTTTCAATGACAAAATACCTGCTATTGTTGTTTCAAACGAAATGGCTCTTTAAAATATTTTCCTGTATTTAAATAAATTACAAATACTCATTGTCAGAAAAGAAAAAGATATCAGATATATACACAGGTGTTTACACTCTTCTCTGTCAATCCTCCTCAAATCCTACTCTTCAGTAACATTGGTGTATATATTTCCATACTCTGTTATATGCACAAATATATAACCTTTATATTTTTTCTTCAAAACCAAGTCTCAGTTTATACGTATCATTCTGTAACTTGCTTCCTTCATTTCGTGAATATAATTCTGTCTTTGTAATGGGGTTCCAAGTATGTCCTTGGAAAATAGGCACCAGAGGAAAAAGGCATCAGATTTTATGGGGCTACTTTTTTGCTCTGCTTAGAAAAATTCTAATATTTAGCAACAAAAGTGTTACCTGAGTGCTATACTTTTGCACACATATTGCCTTTCTAGTTTTCTCATGTATTTTGTTATTTTGTATTGTGAGGTCACTTCAGTGGGGTATTATCGCGGGAATCCTGTGAGGCTTGATTAAGGTTTTTGCCAAACCGAGGAGCTTTGTCTTTTTTTCTGTCAGGTGCGTCAGGGACATTTCCAGGCTGGACCACTTTTAAGTTCATTTCTCTGCTTTGAGGTTACCTGACTACAGAGGTAGTATAAATTCAAATCCTAAATCCACATGGAAGTTACATGTTCTCAGAGGAGACCTTTCCCAAGGTGGAAGAGCTTCCTTATTTTCATCCTGGGCCAAGAAGTGGATTTCTTTTTTTTGGACCAGCCCTTCACTGAGGGTATAGTGCTTCTGTGCCTGTAGGAATATGGGGAAGTCTCAGTCCCAAATCCTACCCTCGGAGAGCCAAGTCCTTGTCCTTGTGTGCCTTGCTCTAGGGACCAGAAACTTCTCCCTCTACTCTCCAAAAAGGTAGACCAAACTTGGGTTCATTTCTAGTGAAGTCAAATACACTTAACGAGGATGTTTGTTAATAGTTTACCCATCATTTCCAAGTGTTTTACAGTGAAATGATTAGGTTGTCTATCCATCAAAAGGCTGGAAACGGAAACCATAGCGCTACCCATTGCCTTTGCCAATAAGTTGGATTCTCCTTTCCCCCTCTTATTTTTGGTACAATATTATTGAGGTACAACTGAAGTATGATAAAATGCACATACTTGAACTTCACAGTTGGATCAGTTTTGATATATAGCCGTGTAATCACCACAATCAATAATAGCGAACATTTCCATCATTCTCAAAACTTTCCTTGAGATCTTTGTACTCCATCTCTGGCTCCACCCCTTTCCCCAGAAAATCACTGATCTGCTTTGTCACTATAGATTACTATGTATTTTATAGAATTCTATATAAATGGAATTAAACAGTGTGTACTCTTTTTTGCCTGAATTTTTCATTCTGCATAATGATTTTTAGGTTTGTCTATGTTGCTTCATGTCTCAATAGTTCATTCCTTTTTTATTGCTGAGTTGTATTCTTCTGTACAGATAAATAATGATTTGTTTATCCCATTTACTTGTTGATGGACATTTGGGTTATTTCCAGTTTGGGGCTATTACAAATAAAACTGAAGAACATTCATGCACAGGTCTTTGTGTGGACAGATGTCTTTGTTTCCCTTGGGTAAATGGAATGCGTTGGTCTTATGGTAGGCGTATGTTTAACTGCAAAGATATATTCCAAACGGGTTGTACTATTTTACATTTTTACAAGTAACATATGAGAGTTTGGTTGCTCCATATCCTATCATTTGGCATGCTCTGTCTTTTTAGCTTTAGCCAATTTAATGGATGTATAATGGTATCCTGTTGTGGTTTTAATTTGAATTTCCTTGATGACTAATGATGTTGAACATCTTTTCATGTGCTTATTGGCCATCTGTCCATCTTCTTTGGTGAAGTATCCGTTCACATAGTTTGTGCATGGGTTGTTGGGCTTCTTCTTATTACGTTGTAAGAGTTTTTTTTTTTTAATTTCATGTAAAAGTCCTCCGGTATATATTGTGAGTATTTTCTCCTAGTCTGTAGCTTGCCTTTTCACTTTCTTAATGGTGCCTTATGAAGAACAAGCATTTTTCATTTTGATCAAGTCCAATCTTCTATTTTTTCATTTACAGTTTGTGATTTTGGTGTCCCATCTAAGAAACCTTTGCCTAATCCAAGGTTGCAGAGATCTTCTCCTATGCTTTCTTCTAGAAGTATTATGGCTTTAGGTTTACATGTAGGTCAATGACCTATTTTGAGGTAATTTTGGGGTATGATGAGAAGTAAGGACAGATGTTCAATTTTTCCAAACAGATATTCAGTTGGTCTAGCACTATTCACTGAAATGACTTTCACTTCTGAATTAGCACCTTTGTAAAAAAAAAAAGAAAAAAATTGAAATATATATATATTTCTGGATTCTATTCCTCTTTTTTAATAAATTTATTTATTTATTGGCTGTATTGGGTCTTCGTTGCTGTGCACAGGCTTTCTCTAGTTGTGGCGAGTGGGAGCTACTCTTCGTTGCGGTGTGCGAGCTTCTCATTGCGGTGGCTTCTGTTGTTGCGGAGCATGAGCTCTAGGTGTGTGGGCTTCAGTAGTTGTGGCCCACGGGCTTCAGTAGTTGTGGCAGTCAGGCTCAGTAGTTGTGGCTCACAGGCTGTAGAGCACAGGCTCAATAGTTGTGCACGGGCTTAGTTGCTCTGTAGCATGTGGGATCTTCCCGGACCAGGGCTTGAACCCATGTCCCCTGCATTGGCAGGCAGATTCTTAACCACTGCGCCACCAGGGAAGCCCCAGCACTGCACCACCAGGGAAGCCCCTCTGGATTCTATTCTTTTTCATTTATCTATATGCCTATTTTTTCACCAATACCAACTGCCTTGATTTTTGTAGCTTTACAGTCATTATTGAAATCAGGCAGGGCAAGTCCTCCAACTTTGCTTTCTCATTCTCCTTCTTCTTAACTCCTTTGATTATTCTTGATCCTCTGCATTATCATGTAAATTTTAGAATCAGCTTATCAATTTCTACAAAACAACAAAACAAAACAAAACCCTGCTGAAGCTTTTATTTGTATCACATGGAGTATAGTTCACTATAGAGATACTGCCATCTTAAAAATAATGAGTCTTTCAATCCATGAGTATGCCATATCTTTCCATTTATTTAGGTATTCTTTAATTTTCTTCAGCAATGTTTTATAGTTTTTAGTGTAAAGGTCTTGGTCATTTTTTGTTAGATTTATTCTATGTATTTTTTGATTTTTGGTGATACTCTAAGTAGAACTTTTGAAAATCTTACTTTCTAGTTGTCTGCTAGTGGTATATAAGAATACAGTTGATATTGTATATTAACATTAAACTCTGCTAATTTCATTTATTAGTTTTAGTAATTGTTTTGTAGAATTCCAATCCTAGAGTTTTTGATATTGTCCTAAAGATCTGGAAACCATTTTTCCAATATTTTCTCTCTTCAGTTTAGATAATTTCTATTGCTCTATCTTCGTTTTCCTTTGCTATCTATGTTCTACTATTGAGCCCATCTAGTGAGTTTTAAAAAAATTTTCAGATATTATATTTTTCAGTCTTAAGGTTTCCAGCTGGATTTTTTTTTGTTTGCTTATTTTTGTTTTGGGGTGTGTGTGTGTGTGTATGGTTTCTGTTTCTCTACTGAGAATTTCTATCTGTTCATTCACTTCAAATGTGTTTTCCTCATGAAGCATAGTTATAGTAGCTGCTTTAAGTCTTTGTTTCAACATGTAGGTCGTCTTGAGTTTGGCATCTGTTGATTGTTTTTCCCTTGAGAACGGGTTACATTTTCCTGTTTCTTTGGTTGTCAGGTAATTTCAGATTGTATCCTGAACATATCAGTGTAATACTGCATATGTTCTGAGTCCTTTCATAATCCTCAGGAGAATGTTGATGTTTTTGCTTTAGCAGGCTATCAACCCGGTTAGGCTCTGACCCTAAGTTCTTCTCACCTTTGTGGGCAGCGGTTTAACTCTGAGTTCAATCATATAAGCCTTTGTTGTACTGCTTTGGGTCTGTCCTGTACCTGCATAGTTCAGGGGTTAGTCTGACACTTAGGTAGGTGGTTCATATCTCATTTAAACTCTCAACGCCTTTGCTGTGTTGGTTTGAGTCTGTACCTTGCATGCTTGGCTCAGATGCTAGATTGAACCAAGGATTCATACACAGAATTAGGGGACCTCTTGCTCCAGTTTTTTCCCCTCTGGGATTTCTCCCACTCACTCCACCCCACAGAGTGATCATTTCCTTGTTCCTCTGGCTAGAAAGACATGTTTGCTATTGGAATTTTAACTGCCTGTGGCATGCACTGCTTTGAAACTGGGATCTGTTCTTAGGATAAAGCTGCAGGAGAAAAGAAAAAAATGGAAAACACACCCATCCCCCCAAATCCATCTGCTTTTGTTTACTTTCACAGTCCTCAGGTAGTCTTTTCTCCACATATTTTTGTCAGAGTTTTTAGCTGTAATTAGTAGGAGGAATAGGCTGCCATGGCAGATCCAGAATCCACTGACCCATTTATTTTTAATATGGATAGAATTCAAAGATGCAGCAGAGTCCTGAAGGAAAGCCAATCATGTGCTTCCCCAGAATTCCCCACTCCACTCTGAAAAACACACAAGGCTCTCTGTGTTCTGGTTTTTAAATCTCATAAAACAGTAAGAGTCATTAAAAGCAAGGAAATCCTTTATCAATGTGCAAGAAGGGGTATTTAGCATTGGTACAGTCAATTTTATTTTAATTTTTTCTAGGTGTAGACCTTTCATTTGGAGGAGAGAGGGGAGCTATATAATTATTTATTTCTTTGATTCTTTCTTTTGGGGCTAAGAACAAAGGATAACATTCTCTCTACATAGGTATACTGCTTGAAAGATAGTATAAAAGTGCCTTTTATTTCCTTGAGGGTCATTTTGTTTAGTTTCAGACCTGTCACTTTTAATTATTTACCTGATCATCATATCTCTGACTATAATATAAATACAGTATATAATTACACTTTTGAGAATGGTTATTTACTCGTTGGCCCACAGTGGTTTTTTGGAGCTGCTACAACCTATCTGTGAAATATAAGGAGTAGCAGCATGAAGCCCAGAGCTGATTCAGAGAATTATTTTAATTTGCGGACCGTTGCCCAGATAAATAACAGCTGCTTTGGAATCATTACAGCTGAAGTGGTCAATGAATAATTTACCTTTATTTTTAACTATAACAGATGAATATTTCAAGGTTATCAAAATATAAAAAAATGTCTTAAATATCACTAGTTCATCTAGCTGTTATATTTTAAAGGGAATGCTATACACAGATACTAGGATGTAGAGGTGCAGCCTGGAGAATTTTGTTGGGAGAGTGTGACTAATGATGGGTAACATCAAAATGATCAGAGTATGAACCTGGTTTTGGTAAATTACCCTAAAATCTATTTATTTATCAAAAAATTATGCAAAATGTGTTAAAGCTCTGAACTGGCAAACTTGGGCAGGTAATCTTGCAAAAGCAACTTTTTCCCATGAGATTTTCTTTTTAAATTTATGTTCTTTTCTTAAGAGGATTCTTCCCACACTTCTGGCTTTCTATGTGTCTGACATTTTATTCTGAATATTGTACATAGCCAGAACCAGGAAAGGCAGAGGTCTATTTTTAAAACAGAAGTGAGCTTTTTTTAAAATTGAAAATATTCTTTTATTATTACAAACACAGTGTATGTGTATTATAGAAAAATTTTTAAATACAAATAAGGGAACTTCCCTGGCAGTCCAGTCCACCCTGTGCTCCCAATGCAGGGGGCGAGGGATGGATCCTTGGTCTGGGAACTAAGATTCCACATGCCGTGCGGCATGGCCTAAAAAATAAAAAATACAAATAAGCAAAAAATAAGAATATAAAACACTATTTTTATTATCCAGAGATGATTCCTGCCAACCCATCATTGTATATCCTTTTGGATCCCCTTCTAATTATGCTTATATATATTTTTGTCCCTATAATGAGATTGTACCTTACTTGCTATTTTGCCACTTGATTTTTAAAGTCAAGGATCTCCACCTTTCCATGTACAGTAAATGCATTTTCATCTTATCTATTACCTAGTTCACATTCATATTTCCCCAACTGTTTAGAGGAACTTAAAAAAAATGTTTTAATTAAATTCAAAATCAACCTTTGATTACTAAGGATGTTATTCTAAATATTTGCCTGAATTGATTGGATTCAGAGAATTCATGGGAGGTCTTTGGCAGGCCTGATAGTTGGTATTGATAATCATGTGGTCAATTGGCATATGTATTAATTGATTCTGATCATAGCTCTAGAATTTCCAAATCCAAAGATCAACTTGTGCTCTGGTGAAATGAGGAACTAAAATGACTCCCATTCCGTCAAGAAGTTCCTAATAAAAATGAGAAAATATATAATGGGAGAAGTATAGTAGTACTTATATTTGTACCATTTCCCTTTCTTTTGTATTGCTTTATGTGATGCGTGTGTAAGGTTTACCTTGGGAGCAAGTGAGAACCTTTGGAAAGGACCCAGGTA